TTTATAATTAGCATTTATAACAAAGTAGACGGTCGATAAATAATCTTCATTTCACTCCATAAACGAATGAGAAAAGCCACTGCACTGCCCACACTGGCTAATCTGTTCTCCCCACCCACACAGGATAATTGTTTTCTTGCCATTGAAAAAAGAAAAACAACATTTTTTTTTCAACCCTTAGAGCAGCCCACAGCCATTGGGCTTAGAACCATTAAATGCAACTTCAAATTTCCTGTTTCAGTGTTTTTCATAGAGGTTAATTTCATGAGCAGAAGGTGGCTAGAGCCTTCAGCACTAGTTTTACATATTCCAAAAGAGAACGTAACTACAGTTTTTAAATTACTTACCAAACTACACAACCACACTAAGGAAATACATTGCCTTGCATGTTAACCTCCAGTGTGTAAATGTGTGTGTGGCTCTGTTAAATGCTGTTTTAAGTGAAGGTTCTCCAGGACTACCTATGAACCATTACCTTGTTAACATTGTATTGTGGTAATTGAGGCTTGTGTACTTCCAAGGCACTGCTAATTCATGGATGAAATCTTCTCATAAAGATTAGGTTGTATTAAATCTAATTGTATTTGCTTCTTCTCCACTAGAAACCAACAATCAGCTTTTCATGTTTCTTGTTTTCTTAAGGTTTTATTAGCATTCATATTTGGTGTATTGGAGGACTCATTTTTCCAAGAGAGTTTATTACATTTGATGCAAAACAAGAATGAGAAATGAATTAGTGATTTCATTCTAAAAGAGAATAATAAAGAAGGCAATGTGTTGATAGTTGAAATTCAGTGTGGAATTATTCATTCTTTTTTGTGCGCATGACTCTCCAAAGCAATTTTCGGGCCAAATAGCAGTACTGTGAGAGGCATTCCAGGCACTGCAGATGTTTACCAGGTTATTTGGCACTGGCTTTCAAGAAAAGGCTGTATTTGTGGCCTCCAGCATGGAGTGGTCCCCAGCAGAGGCACCAGTGGCCTTTCTGTGAGTTTGACAGGTTGCCCCAGGGAGCCGCATGATGGGGGAATGCAGATGAGGGGTGTGTGTGTTAGAGGAGAGAGACACTGAGTTGACCTGAATTTCTGTATTAATGTTCCCCGTCCCTGCATTTATTAGCATAGATTTCTAAGCATTAGTTTCTCGCACAGGTGATAATAACAAAAACAATCAATAATGAGGGATATGCCACTCTTGCTCTTGAGGTATGCCCTGTAAGACATAATTGTTTCACACGTATTTGAATATTCTTCCTTTGAATATTCTCACCTGGAGAACTTTTCCCTTTAAGCCAAGACTCAGAACATTCTGACAGTCCAATATTGTACTTATCAGATCCAAAAACACCTGAGAAACACTATTCTATATAATGCAGCTACTGTACGGTAACTGCTATATTATGGTAGACTGCTATATTATCTGCAGATAAAGACATACCCAAGACTGGGAAGAAAAAGAGGTTTAATTGGACTTACAGTTCCACATGGCTAGGGAGGCCCTAGAATCATGGTGGGAGGTGAAAAGTTCTTCTTAGGTGGCTGGGGCAAGAAAAAATGAGAAAGAAGCAAAAGTGGAAACTCGTGAGACTTATTCACTACCATGAGAATAGCATGGGAAAGACCAGCCCCATGATGCAATTTTCTCCATCTGGGTCCCTCCCACAACATGTGGGAATTCTGGGAGACAATTCAAGTTGAGCTTTGGGTGGGGACACAGCCAAACCTTGTCAATTGCAAATTCAATTTTCACAAAATTGTGAGTTAAAAACATTTTTCCATTTGCAAATTTTATTTATAGCAATTGTGCTTATAAGGTTTATTGATCTATAGTAAATGTTTATAATGAAGACAGTGTCTCTAAACACCTCAGTAGTTCACGTATAAGGTAGCTCCACCAAAGAGCAGCACTGGCACATTCATTCCTTTTATTTGTAATTACATATTTTAAAGCAATATCATTTTTAATTGGCAAATTATAATTGTATATATTTATGGGGTAAGAATGTTTATTCTAAAATTAGTAATTTTTCTTTGATTTTCTGTAAATAAAGCTTATAAATATTGAGTTTGAAAGACTACATTTCAAAAGATAGCATTGAGTTAATCAAAATACTCACTTTCAGTAACTATTTCTAATTTCATATTATTGGTGTATATGAGGTTGGTGTAAAGGTAATTGAGATTTTTGCCATTGAAAGTGATAGCAAAAACCACAATTACTTTTGTACCAACCTAAAATACAGGTAATTCTCTATAATATTTATGTGCCTTATAAGTAAAATACAATAATTTTATTGGAATCTTACGACAGTTTATTAAATTTTATCACATAGATTAGTTGATATTCACCCTGATCTTGTTAATTAGACTCCTTTGTATCTGTTTTTTGTTTGTTTGCTGTTAAAGAGACCTGATCTTGCTCTGTCATCCGGGCTGGAGTGCAGTGGTGCAATCATAGCTCACTGCAGCCTTCAACTCCTGGCCTTAAGCATTCCTTCTGCCCCAGCCTCCCTACTAGCTGGGACCACAGGCATGAGACACTGCACCCAGCTCTTTACATCGTCAGATAGTAGGCACAAGAAGTGATGTTTGGAGCACCTTTGGTAATGAGCGGCATAATCCGGTGGGGCTCTGGGTTTTAGAGGCTGCCCAGTGCTTCCCTCTAGATAAGGTTTCCTTCTCTCCTGCTCTGGGAGAACTCGGTCTCACGTGTTCTTCCCAGTTGTCATCCTGGGGGAGCCAATGCCAGGAATTATCCAGGATGCTTTTGCCACGGTGTGTCCTCTGATCTTGATTTTCTTGTTCTCAATCACTTTGCTGCTGCTTCTCTGACTCTTATTCAGAAACATTATATCATTGCATAAATAAAAATAATTAAAACAAAGGGATGCTAAAAGGTTAAATAAAGAATTGTTTTTAACCTGCTGACTAGTATCAGGGCTTAACCATAGGATCCTGTTGTCAACTGCATAGTATGCTTATGGTACTGAAAATATAAATAAATACACACACACACGCACACACACACACACACACACACATATACAGTCTGTGACTGTTGAGAGATAGGACATTTCATCTCTGGCATTTGTGAGTCTCTCTCTTTATATATATATTTTTTGTTTAATCATTTGGATTTCCATAGTGTAAATAATGCTGCAATGAACATCTTTAAACATTTTTTTTTTGTATTGGAAATCATGCTCATTAGAGATTTCTGTAAATTTAATGCTAGGTTTAATGTTACAACTGATTTTTTGTGGCTCTATTCTAATGGCTTTCCCAAACAGTTGTAGCAGATAATGTTGCCATTATTGAGTTGCCCAGATGACTCACTAGCACTGAGTGTTGTTATTTTAAAGAGGAAACAATGCCGTTTCATTAGTTTATTAAGTAGGAAAAAGCTATGGATAATACCGAAACCTTATGACTCTATGGAATGCCTACGCTTTGGCAAATGTTAATGAAGACAACCTCCAAACGGCACTTACATCAATCTTGCAAGCACCAAGGCCACACTGCAAGTGCACGTATCATATCTCCTGGTTGGTTTCTTCCATTGTTCTCACATTATGTTTATGGTAACATCCAATCCCGTTAATATTAAACACAGACCGATTCATATTCTGGGCCTTGCCTGCCTTTTCAGTCTAACCTCTGCGTAATCCCATGTCATGCCCTCTGTGTTCCCAGCCCCTATTCGGTGGCCCCGCCGACCCTGCTCTGTCTGTTTTCCTGTCACTCCTCTTTTTTCCCAGGTCATGAACACAGAAACCTAAAGTCTAGAATTCTGAGAAACACCTCTCATAATAATACGTTGTTTTGTTTTTCAACATTTACTTACAAGTTTCAAAGCTATAGGCTCACTCTAGCATTGTCAGTGGTTAGCGAATTTACATACAAAATTGAAATGTCCATTTCAATTCGTTCTCCACAGGAAAGATCCCTCTGCAGAAGCTCGGAGCTTTTATTTTATTACTTGTTTTCAGTGAGTGGTGAGGACAGCGATCAGTGACCTCATGCTCTTTTAAAACACATTGTATTGCTTGGTGCTGAGGTCGGTTTCAGCAGAATTACAGGACGGGGAGGAGGCTCCCCCAGAATTGGTGCTGCACCGTGTGGCTTTGCTGCTGTATTAGGAGCAAGTTCCCCGTCACCGTTATGGACGAGGCTGTGCCTAAAGATTCAGGGCTGCTAGAGAGGGCTTCTGCTGCTTCCAGTGCTCCCGCCCTCTTAGACAGAGGGGGCCAGAGGCGTGTGCACAGTGGCTATGTAGCTTTAAGATCACAGTATCAGATGACACCTAATTTATGGATTAGTTAATTCTTACTGATTTATGAGTAAATTTTTAAATCACACAGACTGCAAACATGCGTTATATCTCGTTACCTAGAGTTTATTCTAGGGAGCATAAAAGATGGAATGATAAAGCACAATAAATTATATGTTATAAAAATTGTACTGATAGTAGTTGCCAGCTTAGTGATTGTACAGTTTTTGTTTTTTTTTTTTAAGAAAAGACTAGAGACTGGAACGGATTTTCCTATTGTATTTGTATTAAACAGTTAAACAAAACGACAACATATTTCCCAGTTAGGAGTACTTAGACTGGCAGTATATTTCCTCTTTAAAATAAAAGGGAATTATTAGGTGCATACTTGCTCAACATCCTTTATAGGCCCCTTTTATTATTATTTGTATGACTTTCTTAAATAATTTACATCATATACCTTTTTTGCAAGGTAAACTGTCAGATTTCTTTTTGGTATGTGTCATATTCCTTTTAAAGATCACGGTAAGTATTTATTAAATGCATATGGTTGTAATTCTAATAATAACTATAGTGGTCTGCATGGCAACTACTTGGAAAATATACATTATTACATTTATATTCAACGACTTCATCTTAAGCAGCTACGTGGGATCACACTCCTCTTCTAAATTCCATTGTAATTTAACCTCGCAAGTATAAGCTTTATTTTGTCTATTTGTTTGTTTCAGCCTATGAATTACAGAACTGTCCAGATCCACCCCCATTTCAGAACGGGTACATGATCAACTCGGATTACAGTGTGGGGCAATCGATATCATTCGAGTGTTATCCTGGGTACATTCTAATAGGCTATCCTGTCCTCACTTGTCAGCACGGGATCAACAGAAACTGGAACTACCCTTTTCCAAGATGTGATGGTAGGTTTATCGTTTTGCTTGGGGGCAATTGAATGTTTCATGGGCATAACAGCACATTAAATATGAAATGAACTTACCCAATATTTAATTTATTCAATAAATATTCATTGAGAATCTCTTATGTTTTACTCACTCTACTTAGTGTTTCAGGAATATGTCGTATACCAGGAAGTTAGAAATAAAGAAACAGGAAATGATAAGGGTAGCAAGACAGTAAGCACAAGAGGAGTGTTATACTGAGCTGCAGGGAAGGAGATGACACAGGCTTGGCGTTTCCATAGTGTCAGCAGCGTTCAGCTTGACATCACATTGCCGGACCAGAGGGAAAAAGGGTACTTATTAGTTTGATCCTTGGTGTTTCTTGTTTAGCTTTTATAATTATTGCTTTTGCGTTTCAAAAACTGAGCTCATGGTTGTAGTGGGCCTTGAAAGGTACATAGCATTTTGCTGCTTGGAGATGGAACACTCCAGGTAGAAGAAGCAGTGTAAGAAAAAGTGCAGTGTAGATGCAGCCTTGGAGAAGACAGTAGAGTGGTTTAGTAGTGCAGGAGGACAGTTTCTTGGGAGAAGTTGGAGCCAAGTTCTTGTTCAATGGTACAGCAGAAGACCTGGCCTCTTTAGAAGTCCTTTCCTGAGCAGAAATCCTGACTTTAATGCTTCTGTGTGACTAATTTTTATGAGGACTTTGACATTTTTTCAATATCAAATTAAAATAAGTAGATACATACTATGTTTAGGAAGAATGCATATGTAACAGAAAATTTACTCTAAACCCAATATTCTAACACTATACATACAGAACCTTTGAATAAAAAAATAGTAAAATTACCAACTCCGGGGACCTTTGAAATGCTAAACACTTGTATCCTGTGGGGAAAAGGGAAAGACATCTAGTCATGTTTTAATTTCTACTGAAGAAGTAAAAGAAGCACATCAGTGGACTTTTAAAATTATGGTTTTCACCTATATTTATGTATTCTATATTATTATCAAAATAGCTACAAACAATCCTTCAGCCATATTTTAAGTGTCTTATCTCAATCTAATATTCAGTTAGATATAGAATAGCACTTAAAATTAATTTTATAAAATAAGAATAGCAGTAACCTGTCTGGGGTATTTTTCATTAAAACATTTTTTAAAAGCTCTATGTCTGCTTTCCATTTTAGAAACTCATATATATGTATAAATTACTTTGAAATTATCAACTTTGAAATCTCTTATTTGCAAGTTTGGTGTGAAGACTTTGAATTCATATGTAAATGGTAGACTCTCTGGCTTGATATTTTAAAAACTACAATTAAATGTTTAATTTCATTCTATTGCTTTTTCAAGCTTAGGTTTTCAATATGGAAATAACTGCCCTGGCTTGGAATTATTTTGTCAGTGTGAAAATAACAAAATCTACCTTTTTGGATAGAATTTAAAGTGATTCCATCATTCCTAATTCCAGCATGGTATATAACATCACCCAGAATCAGCTAAATTCTGGATGAGTTTAAAGCCTAAAGCCCTTCAGACTCCCAAAACCAGTCTGAGGCTTCATTCTCCGTTAGAAGAACTCACAAACGTCCCTAAAAGCTTGTCACTATGGTTTTAACAGGGAGAGGGTATGTCAATATCTTCCAGGGAAAAGACACGCAGGGCAGAGTCCAGGAGGGTGCCTCACCCTCTCAGAAACCACTTGTGACCACAGACAGGGGACCGCCACCCTGGTCACCTCCCCCAGTCTTAGTTTTGAGGTTTCTAGTGGGGCTCTGTTTTGTAGGCAGGACTGAGGGATTGACTGCCCAATGGCTGATATCAGCCTCCAGGTAGGCAGGTGTGCCCCGCACACCCGGACCTAAACCATGTGGTTGGTTTTCATGGTGTAGCCAGCCCAACGTGACATTGCTAGATGGGACCAATCACATACTTCACAAAGACACCTCCTAGGAGTGAGCACAAAGGCGACGTTCTTTACTAAACAAGCATTTTTACTATTATATTTACAATTTTACTAATACTCATAAACCAAATAAAAAAACTGAAACACAGGATTCATGTAAAAGTTTATCATAAATACTGAAAGCAATTAAAGAACCTAAAAGATTTTCTAAGAATCACCTAATGTATGTTTAATATCCTTTTCATATAAAAAAGAGATTATTTAACACAAAAAGATGCTTTACTTGTGAAAGTATATTTCTTAAAAATGTCATTGTTTCCTAAGAATGATCAGGCTATTCATATGTGTATTACTCACTTATGTTGCAGTAGTTTCCCCAGAGACAGCAGTAAACACTGTTGACAACTCTATATCTTCATGTAACATGTATTTTATTAATTGACAGTAGTTTATGATTTCAGATTTATGGTTACTATGTAGGTCAAGTATACTAAAAAACCATCTTCAAAGGTCCAGCACGGTAGACTTCAAAAGAACTTCAGAAAAAAACAGAGATAGTTTAAACATTAACTTCTGGATGTCTTTATTAAAAATTAGCCAGTTTAGATAAATAATAAAATAATTATAAATCCGAAGGCATCAGTCTTTACAAGTATGTATGAAATCAGTTTGTCTTTACATGCTGTAAATACTTACACGTTAAGCTGCATAAGAATCTATTACATGAAGTTAATATATTATCAACTTATCTGAAAAACTGTGATTTGCAGATATATCTATGAAAGTAAACAAATGAAAGAATATGTCTCTGAAAATTACTTCAGATATTCAAGACATTGTTTTCTGTTAGTAATGTAATTACACAGACGTTTTTTTCAAAAAGGGTTATAGGCCAGGTGCCATGGCTCATACCTGTAATTCCAGCACTTTGCAAGGCTTAGGTGGGTAAATCACCTGAAGTCAGGAGTTTGAGACCAGCCTGGCCAACATGGCAGAACCCCATCTCTACTAAAAATACACAAATTAGCCCAGTGTGGTGGCAGGTGCCCGTAATCCCAGCTACTTGGGAGGCTGAGGCAGGGGAATTACTTGAACCCGGAAGGCAGTGGTTGTAGTGAGCCAAGATAGCACCATGGAGAAACTCCATGTCAAAAAATAAATAAATAAATAAAAAGGCTTTTAATTGTTAAAATATGATTAAGAAGAGTTTGGCTTATTAACTTACTAAATGTAATTTTATAATTAAATATTCATTCACACAAATATAGTTCAAGAATTTTGAATATTTTGTTAACCTAATTAATCATTTAACACTGAAATGTTTATGCATAAAAATATACTTTTCGGTATTTAAAAAAAATTTAAACACTATCATAATAAACGACTTAAATGCATTAGTATGTGTTTTGTGGGGAGCTGTGTAGACAGAGATAATTATTAGTGCAAATAATATGTTGTGATAGGTATGTGGCAGCTTCTTTGAATTTGACTAATTTTGTAACCAGAAAACAATTTTATTGCAAAATTGACATAAGAAATCCAACCAGCTAAACAATATATTATTATATACATACTTTTTAAAATTAAGGTTTACCAAGTTGATCGGTAAATGCAGAAAATAATCTTTCTCAGTAATAGAGAATAAAAATAACCGTAAAGAATGCAACCCTGTTTCTTTATTTTTCTTACTGACATTCACAAATATGTTTTGAAAATCTCCATTACCAAACAACAATTTCCAAGATAAAGTGCACTCTGGCTTCTTACCTGAAAATACTTCTAAGGAAACCAGAGTAAGAGAAGGAAGAAAGAGGATGTAGGGAATCACTCTGGTGCGCTATGCACTAGGTGAGATTAAGCTTTCAGTGTTTGGATACATTAATAACAAAGATATTTTATATTAATAAATATGCATATATTTATATTTATTATAACATATTTATTTTATATTAGTCAATGTTTATGCCCAATATATTTGTTGGTTTTTCAATATGGAATTCCTTTCATATTCTTAATGTTTAGGCAGAAAACCTAACATAATCCTAGAGAAAATCATCTGTAAATTATCTGTCAGTCTCTTAGCAAACATTCAAGGTTTTAAAATTTAAATTATTTTGTTTTCACTTGGTTTGCTTATTTGAGATGGGATCTTACGCTGTTGCCCAGGCTGGAGTGCAGTGGTGCGGTCACTGCTCACTGCAGCCTTGACCTGCCAAGCTCAGGCAGTCTTCCCACTTCAGCCTACCAAATAGCTGGGACTACAGGCACGTGCTCCCATGCATGGCTAATTAACAAGAACAGCAACAACAAAAATATTATAGATGAGCTCTCTCTGTATTGCCCAGCCTAGTCTTGAACTCCTGGGCTCACAAGATCCTTCTGCCTCAGCCTACCAAAGTGCCAGGATTCCGGTTATGAGCCATTACACCCAGCCTGTCTTAATTTTAATTTGATGTAGTATCACTTGATGTGTTCTATTTGTGTCTTCAGAGTAAGCCACATTGCATGAGGAGAGGAAAAGGCAGAACAATAATGAGATGTTTCCTTGTATTTCTGCCTTCCTGTGCCATCCCACCAGTTGGTTTTCCAGTTTTCCGGTTTTCCAGTATCTCCTAGCTCTGGCATCATATCTGAGCCAGAGACAGTGACATGCACCCATCACTTCTGTGGGTGTGAACCACCAAAAGTCCCTCCTTCCCACATAGCCGGGATGTCAATTCAGGAAGGGAAGCCTCGGTGGTACTTGAGGCCAGGGTAGGGAGTGGTGCAGGGGGGCAGGCCGGTGGTGTCGGGGAACCTGGATGAGTTTCCCATTGGGCATGACATTCCAGTTAGATATCACCGCCATCACTTTTAACACAGCTACTGCTGGCTTTAGAATTGGATAAAAATATACAGTTTTGTTATATATCTTTATTCTCTGGAAAAATACATGAGCAAATGACTTGGGCAATTCCCTTTTTCACTGCTTTGCACAGCAACGCTCTCTCCCACATGAACATCCCGGGTACTCATGGGCATGGAAATGCGTGTACATCTCTGTACTCCATGGCTCCCGGGAGTGGAGGGAGTGTGGCCTCTCCCTCACTTTTAGTTGCTGATGCCCATGGTCAGCTGCTTGTCTTCCTGGCCAGGCATGGACCACAGTCTCCCAGGCAGACAGGTGAGGAGCTGGGAGGTACCTGCTGTGCTCCACGTAGAGCTTTCTCCTTGATCTCACTCCAGACTCCGCTTTGAAACCCGCCTTCAGGGAGGAAGGAGGGGGTTGGGGGGATAGGTTTCTGCAGAGACAGGCACACTTCCTGCAGAGGCAGATCACATGCCCCAGCCCCAGTCTCTGCAGAGCTCAGTGAGACGCCACCACTTGGGGAAATGCAAACTTGCCTTTGATGACAGTATAGGGAGGATAAAGACTTTTTGGAGCTAGATAAAGATCAAGCCAGGGGAAATGAGAGAGGAAATTTTGACTCCACTTTTCAGAGTCCTCTTTTTTTCATCTCTAGACTACCCAGTGGGAGGGCAAGAGGATTTTGCTTTGAGAGAATTTTGTGTGCTCACGGATAGAATATTATTATCTTATGTGATAATGAGCGTCTGTTCTTTTCCTTCACAGCACTTGCACCAGTTGAATTTTAAACTTATGTAGTGTTTGTTTAATATCTCTCTTCACTATTCAGTAAGCTTTTTACAAAGGCAGCAACACAGTTCACCATGACAGATGCAGCCCCAAGCACCCTTCCTGGTACATGATTGGCTCTCAGTAGATACTTGTTGAGTAAGTCAGTGAAAAGATGTGTGACTTGAATTTCATAGATAAATCATGGCAAGAATCACTGACTTGCTCAATGTCATAGAGCTGTGCAGTGGCATAAAGAATATTGGAATTGGGAGTGTATTCTACCAAGAAAGTCACCGCCTCATTCGTTGTGCCCTTTAAGAGGTGGAAACCATCTTTTTGTTTTGTTTTCCCAATAGGAAGCGTGCTAATATATATATATATATTATGCTAATATATATTGTGCTAATATATATATATATATATATATATATATATATATATATATATATATATATATAATGTGGTTATATAACCACAAGATTCAACTTGAAAAGCAAAAATGCGAAAGGGCAACCTTAATTAGCATTGTAAGTCCACACTAAATTAATATCACGGAATCACCTGTAAAGGGTTTCAGCCCAGTTGCTTCCATGGGCTTACTATGAGAGTGCTTTCTGGTTATTCTCTAACTCATCAGTTCATCCACTCTTTATGGTCTAGTGTTTGTCCTGATCTGAGCTAGACAGTAGGGACTGATGAAAAGAGTTAGTGGCTGGGGTGGGTGGAGATACTTTGTCACCTAGTGGCTGGCAGTCTCGTGGGACCCGTGTGGTCTGTGAGCAGACCCTGGACCTCTAGAGCCAGAGCAGCTAGGGAAGACTTGAAGGAGGCAGTGACATGGAGATGAGTTTTGAAGGAAGAGACACATTTGCCTTGGCATTAAATAGAAGAAAGGCATGTGAACACTCCCTGAACGTCTGAAGGGGAGGAAAAGTGCACTGCCAACAGGAGAAAAAAGGTAGCTTGTTTTGGGGACAGCATGGTTTATGGTCCCGTTAATATTATTTGAGACATAGCCTCTTCCAGTCACCCAAGCAGGAGTGCAATGGCGCAGTCTTGGCTCACTGCAATCTCCGCCTCCTGGGTTGAAGCAGTTCTCCTGTGTCAGCCTCCTGAATAGCTGGGATTACAGGTGTGCACTACCATGTGTGGCTAACTTTTGTATTTTTCATAGAGATGGGGTTTCACCATGTTGGTAGGACTGGTCTCGAAATCCTGACCTCAGGTGATCCACCCACCTCAGCCTCCCAAAATACTGGTGTTATAGGCGTGAGCCACTGTGTGTGGCCTATGGTCCCATTCTACAGATCGCAAGTTTCAGAGTGTCCCAAACCCTGACCTCATATAATTTATGGAAATGGAGGCTCCCAGAGGTAACTTACTTCTCCAGACAAATCCAGGTTTGTCTGACTGCAAACCTCACTGAGTAATAATCATGCTATAAAACTTCTAAAATAGTCTCTATATACGGTCCCTTCTTCTGATGATGCGCATCTCCAGCAGGGTTCAGTCCAGTGTTTTTTTCAAATCAATATGCATCTGTGCAGGTTGGCACTGTAGCGTGTCCTGCCTCATGGTATATTCTGACTGTTTTATCTGCTTCTGTATTTGGGCCTTTTTCCTCCACCGAAATTCTATACCGTTGGCGGCAACTCTAGCACAGCCCTCCAAAGTTCAAGCAGGCTGTGAATACTCACCTTATAACTCTTAGATGCTGCTTTGGTTTCCAAGTTCACAGTTTTATGACTTTGATGTAGTATATCCATATTTGAATTAAAGACTGTATTTCAGCTGATTCCATTGATATTTGGACATTTCATTTTCCATAAATAAAATAATTGTCATTGCAATAACATAAATTTCTTAAGAAAAAAATAAATTGGGTATTGTTGTAGTTCTTCGTGTCATTGAATGCTAGTAAAAACTGGGAATGCTTCCACAAAACATCCCTTACATAATCTTACTTCTTCAGGGATAGGTCTGTAAAGAATTGATAGTTTCTTTGTTTTAAGGCAAATAGACTTAGATGGCACTCTTTCAGATGGCTTATAAATAGGGCCTAGCAGTGTGACTTAAAACAAAAAAAAGTATTTACATATTATGAATACTTTCCCCATAATTCATTGTGCTGGACACTTGAATGGGTTATCAGCAGGTCACAGGTGATAACTAAGGACTTTATTTCAGTCATAGGAGAATAAATGTATTCTAAAGGGGTTTTGAAGATATGGAGAATATATTAAATAAAACTGAGGTAATGTAGCTTAGATGTATGATTCTTTTAAGGTCTTCAGATTTTAGTGTAGTAATTTTGAAAAAATTCTCATTCAGATATATTTGACATTTATTTCCCGTCAGGAAAAATGTTGGCCAAGGTACTTTGAAGTCAAATATTTAGGTTTCTACTTTTTAAAATCAGGTGTTATGGCAACTGATTTTCCCGGCTTCCTCTGCAGCTCCTTGTGGGTACAATGTAACATCTCAGAACGGCACCATCTACTCCCCCGGCTTTCCTGATGAGTATCCAATCCTGAAGGACTGTATTTGGCTCATCACGGTGCCTCCCGGGCACGGAGTTTACATCAACTTCACGCTCTTGCAGACAGAAGCTGTGAATGATTACATTGCTGTTTGGTATGAGAACCTCTCAAGTCAAAATATCAATTGTGATAAACGATTGTGACTTAGCACACATATGCCGTTGATATACAGGGCACATACTTTAGAATAAACCTCTTAGATACTAGAGAAGAAATTCACCAGTGAAATCCAGAGATACAGGGAATCAATTTCACATAGTACATGTGGGTTTTGCTACATGATAGAAATAGGCAGAATTATGTCTGTGTGTTTGCATCTATCTGTGTGTGTGTGAAGGATGTGTGTTTATATTTGGATGTGTGTGGGGTTTATATGTGTGTGATGTGTGTTTGTATGGGTGTGTCTCTGTGGTGTGTGTGGCCTGTGTTTGTCTGTGTGTGGCTTATATGTGTGTTTGTGTGTGTGTGTCATGTATGTTGTGTGTTTGTGTTATGTGTACAAGTGTTGTGTCTGGTGTGTGTGGTTGTGTGTGGTGTGTTTAGTTTGTATGTGTGTGTGCTGTGTGTGTAGTATGTGTGGTTATTTTGCGTATGTTGTCTGTGTGTGTTGTGTCTGGTGTTTGTGGGGGGAGTGTGTGCCTGTGTGGTATTTGTGGTGTGTGTGTTATGTAGTTTGTATGTGTATTGTGTGTGGTTTGTGTGTTGTGTGTCCGATATGTGTTGTGTGTGTGCATTTGTGTATCTGTGTGGGCGTATGTGTGTGCATGTGGTGTGTGTGATATGTGTGCATGTTGTATATGTGATGTATGTGAGTGTAGCGTGTGTGTTGTGTGTGGTTTGTGTGTGCATATGTTGTGTCTCTGTGTAGGGTGTATGGGGTATGTGTGCATGTTGTGTCTGTGTGGGGTGTGTGTGTGTGTGCCTGTGTGGTGTTTGTGGGGATATGTGTGGTACATAGTATGTGTGTGTGTGCATGTTGCATTTCTGTGTGGTGTGTTTGTGTGTGTTGTGTCTGGGTGGTGTTTGTGGGGGGAGTGTGTGACTGTTTGGTATTTGTGGTGTGTGTGTTATGTAGTTTGTGTGTTGTGTGTGGTTTGTGTGTTGTGTGATATGTGTTGTGTGTGTGCATTTGTGTATCTGTGTGGGCGTATGTGTGTGCATGTGTGTGTGATATGTGTGCATGTTGTATATGTGCTGTGAGTGTAGCGTGTGTGTTGTGTGTGGTTTATGTGTGCACATGTTGTGTCTCTGTGTAGGGTGTATGGGGTATGTGTGCATGTTGTGTCTGTGTGGGGTGTGTGTGTGTGCCTGTGTGGTGTTTGTGGGGATATGTGTGGTACACAGTATGTGTGTGTGTGCATGTTGCATTTCTGTGTGGTGTGTTTGTGTGTGTTGTGTGTCTGCGTGCATATTGTGCATTTGCGTGTGTGCCATGTGTGGTGGTTTGTATGTGCATGTGCGTGTTGCTTGTGGTATGGCTGCAGTCTTGTGGAAGTCCACAATGGGGCAGGAGCCGGAGACAGTGGCCAGGACAAGGAAAGCAGGGCCTGGAAGGGCATGAGATGGGCTTTGTTCTCCAGGCAGTAAGGATGCATTTGGGCTCCAAGAGGCAGAGGATGGTGGGCTCATTTGGAAGGAATAAAGTAGCAGAGGACAACAAAGGTGGCTGGCTTTGAGGCTATGGAAATAGATCAGACATCGAAGATGACAAGGACCAGAACCAGTGGATGTGAGAACGAGGAGAAACAGAATTTGAAATACGAGGTCGACCACATCAAACTGCCACTCCAAAACCAAACCAAACCAAAACAGCACTCTGTGGCCGGCCATGCCCGATAGATTCAGCTCCATATTTAGAAGGTAAAAGCCACAGGTGTTGACATTTTTTTCTTGTTTTTTTGAGATGGAGTCTCGCTCTGTCACCCAGGCTGGAGTGCAGTGGCATGATCTTGGCTCACTGCAACCTCCACTTCCCAGGTTCAAGCGATTCTCCTGCCTCAGCCTCCCAAGTAGCTAGGACTACAAATGCATGCCACCACGCATGGCTAATTGTTACAATTTTAGTACAGATGGGGTTTCACCATGTTGGCCAGGCTGATCTCAAACTCCTCATCTCAGGTGATCTGCCTACCTTGGCCTCCCAAAGTGCTTGGATTACAGGCATGAGCTACTGTGCCTGGCAAGTGTTGACATTTGACTAGTGCCAAGCGCCCACAGAAGACTAATGAAAGACAGAGACTGGAGGGTTCCTCAGCCTTGTGGGCATTCAACATCTTGATGTTTCCAAACACAGGATCCACAGAATGGATGTGTTTTATTGCTTTTATGAAAAATTATTAATTCATTAGCCAAAGTTTCCATAAATCCCACTCATAAATAAATATACTTAGTCTGCTGCCTCTTTCTGTCTCTCCCAGGGACGGTCCCGATCAGAACTCACCCCAGCTGGGAGTTTTCAGTGGCAACACAGCCCTGGAAACGGCGTACAGCTCCACCAACCAAGTCCTGCTCAAGTTCCACAGTGACTTTTCCAATGGAGGCTTCTTCGTCCTCAATTTCCACGGTCAGTTGATTTTCACTCCCTTAATTAAGACTGAGAATTCCATGCGGCGTTTCCTGCCGTGTTGGCCCACGCCTTGGTTCCAGCTGGAGTTTCTTGAGCCAGCCGAGGGTGTGTATGATTCTCTTGCATTGGAGGCCAGAGTTTCCTGTGGTCCTTCTTTTGTTTAATGATATCTTTATCATTTCACATGGTATCAAGCTTGGATTTATTGCAAGATAAATGTATGCTAAGTGAAACTCTGAGACGAAGTCCATTGAACGAGATTTGGTACCTTTTGTAGACTACTCATCCCTGCCTCAAGATAAAGTGTTACAGCAAATACCATGTAACTGTAAATAGTGTGAGAGCAAACCTGCAGTAATCCTGGGAATGCACTCTAAATAATATGCAAAATGTCAATCAGTCTCATCTCACACAAGCACTGCCACCCACAGAACTCCTCAGGACAAGGAACAGAGCAGACTTTATCAGATTTACACACGGACAGGGAGTCAGGTCATGATTGTGGAGTCATTATTCTTGCAGAATTCCAAACATATGTAAAGCGTGTTTATTTTAATACTATTCTGCAAAAAAAAATAATAATTATACATGTTTTTCCTTGGGCTTTAACTAGTTTTTGGCATTAAATAATAACATGAACCTTTAAAGTTTGAGAATTTTGTAAAACAGTGATTCATGAATATAGACATTTCAGCCAGTGTACTCAAGCATTGTAACAACTGCAAGATGAATTTTTTGAATAGCTATGTTCATTCACCGAGTGTAATTGCAACTATTATTATTCTTTCCATTAATCATTTAGCATTTCAGCTCAAGAAGTGTCAACCTCCGCCAGCGGTTCCACAGGCAGAAATGCTTACTGAGGATGATGATTTTGAAATAGGTAATATTTTCTCCATTACAAAACCATGAACTCAACATGACATTTTTCATACCCACTTCTCATTGTAATCATTACTCAGAGTAGTTAATGAGTAATTTGTCAGGGAAAAAAAAAACTATGCTTGAAGTATTGCTGAGAATTTATACAGAGGTCACATATCAAATAGAAAATGTCTGTCCTTCTTCATTATCATGATTTTTTTTTTCGTTTTGCTGTTTGAATTTTGCTGTCAGTTTGAACATTTTTTTCCTCTACAACATTTGCTAGTTCATATTTTTTAATAAAGTTTTCAGTGACAGACTTGAGGAGATATTTGTGTTTGGTTAGGGGGCCATGTTCATGCACTTGAGAAAAATCTTAATCGTTTGTGGCTAAAAGGGTGATTCTATAACATTGACATTTCATTGAAACTAAAAGAAAATATTTATTCGTGATATTTAGGAATTCTGCTCTATGATTTTACGTTAATGATTTAATTTATTAAATACTCTTATGGCTATACTGAGAAAGCAGTGATGGCATATGTTTGTCATATAAGTACTGTAACCAAGGATTTTTTGGCTCCAATTCTAAAACTACGCCCAGTGTTTCAGACCACAGGTCCAATCATGTGGCCTGATTTCCGGCTTAGTTAATTGGAACATCTTATTACATAGGCCAAGGTCAGAGATGAGTCTCCCTGAATGCTGTAAAGCCATTCGATTCCACAGTCTTGCTTAAATCATAGCATCTATTTTACTTATCTTGTTTTCATCTGCAGTCACTGGGGAAGGGGAAGCAACATGGGTGCACCTGTCAAGGAAGAAAGCTGCCACATCATTTTAGTACTAATATCAGTTAGGGTTAATACAGCATTTTTATAAATTATTAAGTTAAAATTGTATTATGTTTACAAGACTAAAAATAAACAGAGACATTGTTTTTAAAGAGTTCTGCAAGTTGATTTACTTCATTAAATGGTCATATATGTGTGACACCATCACACACTCAAAGGTCATGGAAACACAGTTTCCTGGTTTGTTGTCTTGACTTTTCCAGGAGACTTTGTGAAGTACCAGTGCCACCCCGGGTACACCTTGGTGGGGACCGACACTCTGACCTGCAAGCTCAGCTCCCAGTTGCAGTTTGAGGGCTCTCCCCCAACATGTGAAGGTATGCACTGTTCAATACTAAAACTACATAGTTATTCAACATGGAAAATTGTACTGTTGGATTGATCTACATCTCTTTGTATAGGTTCAAACTTTATTTAGGAGAGAGTGTCTTACTCTGTCACCCAGGTGGGAGTGCAGTGATGCAATCATGGCTCACCACAGATTGAACCTCCCAGGTGTCAGGTGATCCTCCTACCTCAGCATCCGGTGTAGCTAGAAAGGCAGGCATGCACCACCATGCCTGGCTAATTTTAGAATTTTTTTTTTTTTTTTTTTTTTTTTGTAGAAATGAGTTTTTGCCATGGTACCCAGGCTGGTCTTGAACTCCTGGACTCAATCGGTCCACCTGCCTCAGCTTCCCAAATTGCTAGGTTTGCAGTCATGATCCACTGCACCCAGCCTGCACTCAATCTTTATGTGTGCCTTGATCCCATTGCAGTGAAACTAACATGATAACAGAAATATTAGATGATGCTTTTTCTTTTAGCTAGTCCCTAGAAAATAAACCAAAGACATATCAAATAAGAAATCATGTTTTTCACAGCAATTTATCATGTAAATGTTCAAAAATGGCAACGTTGAAATAATACCTGAATAATATAACACCTGAATATATACCACCTGCCTTCCACGATGAAAGCTTGCAGAGTGTTTCCTTGATCACATCCTATCTGTTATCCTTCTAGACGTTTATTAAGCCATACTATATTTTTGATGCATTTCGGGGCCAATTTTGAGCATCACTTCATTTTGCTATAAATACATCAGCGTGCGTATAATTAGCTGGTGTTTAACATTTTGATGTAAATTTATAAACAATGAAATGTGCACGTCTCATGTTTTTCTCACATGTGTTTAACACATGTAGTCCATGTGCAAGAAAATAGACAATATACAATAATACAACAAGATACTGAGGCTGAATCTGTTGATTTAATCTCTTAGAAAAGTAGATTACTTTTAAAATATTGTTTCATAGACGTAACTTTCAAGTACCATTGAATAAAAAAGACTCGAACAACTATGCGTAAGCTGAAATGCTCAAGTGAGTCAGAAACATCATTAGTTCATCTATCAGAAAGCTTTCCAAATTAGAAGAGTTCTTTTCTTTATGACTTCAAAATCATCATGAAGTACAGATGTCGTGCTTTTGAGCAATGTGACTCTTTCAAGGAATCTACCTACTGTCATTCCTTAGGGCAAGTGACACAGCAGCTGAAAGGGCCCAGGATTTAGGAAGACAGGACCCAGAGCTTGAGTCACTCAGTCAGGCAGCTTTGAGTAGCTCACTCTTCCCTGCATTGTGCACGGAGAGGATGATTTATCTGCTTTATTTGTGGGCTGTTTAATATTCACTCAGTGAATATTAAATGAATTTATCTTTGTGAGTGTTTTGTAATGTTCATTGCCTTCCCTGTAAAAGGAAGTTTTCTTTTCAGTGCAAAAGTATTGGCTTTGCAATGGTTTTGCAGGTGCTCACACCTGTGAATGGATCTTCTTCAAAGGTTTGATAACTGACCGGGCGCAGTAGCTCACACCTATAATCCCAGCACTTTAGGAGGCCAACGCGGGCAAATCACCTAAGGTCGGGAGTTTGAGACCAGCCTGACCAACATAAAGAAACCCCATTTCTCCTAAAAATACAAAATTAGCCAGGTGTGGTGGTGCACGCCTACTTGGGAGGCCGAAGCAGGACAATTGCTCGAACCAGGGAGATAGAGGTTGCAGTGAGCTGAGATCACGCCATTGTTCTTCAGCCTGGGCAACAAGAGTGAAACTCCATCTCAAAAAAACAAAAGTCTGATAACTTTGTGCATTCTCATTCTGGAATGAGGCAGTATCCAAGGAACCCTGAAAGAGAGAAACAATTTTCTACATCTGAAGAAAAATTGGCATACATTTTGGAATGAATTATTACTAGATATCCCTAATAACTAAGATTTTTGTTAAAAAAAGTATTAACATTAAAGTTGTATCCACGTGAGAGCCAGTGGGTTCAGGAAACCACTACTTGGGCAGAGGGGCAGACCCTTAGCCTACTCGTCTATTCAGATGCTTAGCAGACCACTGGCTGTGGAAGTCACTGAAATCTGTGCCTATAGGGCTGCTCCACTTAGAAGTGGGTGTTGGTTGCATCAGGTGCAAAGTCAGGAGACCAAAGTCATGTTCTCAAAAAAACCCAGCATCTGTAGCATAGTCCAGGAACAACTACAGTCTATTTCTGTATTATTCCTTAAGGTGGGGGTATAAAAAGTGTTCACCTTCTGCCATTCTATTTAACAGTGAACTCAGGAAAACCCTCGCATTTTTTAAGGTACATTTTAATCTCAACAAACAAAGCCTCGAGTTTCTCAGAATAGAAGAACTTAAGCAAAGGTGATCTTAGCTGGAGAGAGAAGAAAGGCATATAGATGTATGTATCAAATGTACTGCCCTAAAAACAGGTGATTTTATTAGGTCATCCTCTCCAGATTAACCTGGTTCTTATTTAAATGATGTTTAATTTATGACAAGCCAAGAATAAAGCATAGTCATGCATTGCATGATGTTTTGATCCATGACAGGCCGTGTATAAACACAGTCCTGCGAGGTTATAATGAAGCTGAAAATTCTATCACCGAGTGATATCTAGCAGTTGCAACGACCTTTTCTGTGTTTAGACGTGTTTAGATGTGTAAATACTTACCGTTGTGTTCCAGGGGCCTGCGGACTTCCGTACAGTCACATGCTGTGCAGGTGTGTAGTCTAGGAGCAATATGGCTTAATTATATAGCAGGCTGTACCATCTGGGTGTGTGTAAGTGTTCCCACACCAAACCGAGGGTCAGGCTGCTATTTCTGTGGCCCAATAATGAGATGCAGATGAACTGGAGAGGAAGAGAGTTTTTATTTCTATAACTGGTTACAGGGAGAAGGCCTAGAAATAATCACCAGACCAACTCAAAATTACGAACTATTTAGAGTTTATACACTTTCTGAGCTATATGTCTGTGTGAAGTGTGCATTTGTTTAAAGACGTAAGTGATTAACTTTTTTAGACTCTATAACTAAGATCTGAGGCCTGAAGACCTTCCTCTGGAGCCTCAGTAAGTTTACTTAATGTGTCCAGGTACTGGGGTGATTAGCCTATTCTTGTCTCCTGCTAAATCAAAAAGATTTCGAGAGTTCATTTAGAACCCAATACATTCGTCTGTGGAGGCCTGGGTAGTTTCTTTAGACCCCCAATAAAACTTGTTTAATCCTAAAAGGATCCTGTTAGGATCCTTTGTTACCTTGTCATGCTTTAAGTCCCAGAAGAACCCTCGGAAAAATCTCTTGGTGGCTGTTTGTTATATTCCGGGCTTTGTATAAGGCACTGGCTCTTTCAGCTTTTCATATTTAACAGAACCACTGTCAGGACTGAAACAGTTGTTATGGGGGCCTGGTTAGTGAGGTCGGCCTGCCATAGAGGTGCATGCTATTATCCTTGCATGGCGACAAAATCCCCTAAAGACGCATTTCTCACAGCCTGTGCCCATCTTTAACACATGGCTGAATGTGTTAAACAAACATGATTTGACACATGTCTAAATCAATGCCACGTGAGCATTACTCTCTAAATTTCCTCAGTTGTCACAGACATTTACAGGGAGCATTCTGCAGACAAAATTCACCAACTTTTACTCATGCAAAGAGTCCCACACCCTGCTCCACTGCTTGGGAGGCACACAGGATAACCAAATTCTTTTCTCTTTCAAGTCAGGAGTGAATTTGCTTAAAACAGACGGAGAGTGATCTTAACTGTCATTTTCTAAACAACTTATCATTTAAAGACAGGAAATGGGACCCCAGGTGTCTTTTACCAACTCCTTAATCACTGAAGCACTTAATTAACATCTTTCTTGAAGTACTTTTCTACTATTTGATTGATTTAATTGTGCTCAAGTTGGGGCCCATCTCCCAATAAATTCATCATGAAAAATTATATTAGTTATTAGTCTGTCTTCCTCATATGTCATAACCACACTTTTAGAACTTGTACTTTGAAAATTGTCACCATTATCACTTTTGGAGGCCAAGGTGGGTGGATCACCTGAGGTCAGGATTTTGAGACCAGCCTGGCCAACATGGTGAAACCCCATCTCTACTAAAAATACATAAATTAGCCAGATGTGGCAGCAAGTGCCTGTAATCTCAGCTACTCAGGAGGCTAAGGCTGGAGAATCGCTTGATCCCAGGATGCAGAAGTTGCAGTTTGCCAAGATCACACTAGTGAACTGTAACCTGTGCAACAGAGCAAGACTTTGTCTAAAAAAAAAAAAGAAAGAAAGAAAAAAGAAAATTATCACCAATTTTAGGGAAGCAAGGAGAGTGTTAAAACATGCACTCTGAATGAAGAGACCCCCTAAACAGGCTTTGTGTGAGCGATATGGCTGTTTATTCACCTAGGTACGAGTGGGCTGAGTCCAAAAAGAGAGTCAGCAAAGGGCGGTGAGATAGGAGTTTGTTTTATAGGTGTGCGGTAGGCTGTGGAGAGTTGCAGAAGTCACAGTTCAACGCAGTTTTTGCAATCTGGGAAAGGGTTTTAGGGTCCGGAGTCATGAGGTTGACAAAGGTCGGTTGCAAAGTCCAGTTGCCCTCTCGGTAGAGGCAGGAATAAGGAGCAACAGAAGAATGCTTCAGGTTAGTTAGGCACTGCAGGAGTGAATCATCACTTCAGACTTTCTAGTTCCAGGAACTCACTGTATGCGCAGGTCAGAGGCTACCGTGGTGTAGTCCATGGTGCAGTCGGTCAGTCTAAAAGACCTTACAGAGAGTAGGAGAGTGCACTGTTCATTACATGAAGATATTACTGTGCTAGACACTTATCTTAATGGAGAAAACCCTGAGTAAGAAACATCACAGAAGAGACTTTTCTCCTGTTAAGGAAAGAAAAGTATTTCAGAAAGTGAAGAGAATTAAAACAAAGGTTTGGAAACACAAAGGAGGGCGTGGCATCCAGGAAAAAATGACTTTCTACTGCTTGCTCTTAGAGTGTTTCAGGGGGAAGAGGCAGTAAATTAAATCAGCCTGGAAACCTAACGTGGGGACCGGCTTTAAAGGTCTTCGAAGTCAGGTTTCTTCATCCTGTGGACCACAGGGGATCTTTCAGTAGTTTTTAGAATATTCATTTCTTTAGGGGAAAAAAAACAACATACATTTTCAATGAACATTAAGGAGATTCAGTGACCTTCTGATAATGACCATTCAGGAAAGCACCAGACGGAGGTGACATACCAACAGCCACCGCCCAGCCACTGCCCAGCTCTGGCCTCCTTCTGTATGTGTGGGATAATAGCAAGCATCACGAGGGCCCTGGGGACAGCCTTTCCCTCCTTCACAGAGGACTCAGCTTCTCCAATTCTGTCATATCTACAGCTGCTTTAAGAATTAATCTTAGTGACTTATAAATCCCAATTTATATTATTAATCTTAGAGTACAAATCCACATCTCCTATGACTTTTGCTGAAGGCCTGTGAGCTGCATTAAATAAGATGCTTTGGGTTTTAAGTCTCACATTTTATTTTTCTTTAAAAAAAAAAAAAAAAGTTACAGCACTGACATTGTGCAGAAGGGTGATAGCTCAAAGAGCAGGTGACGTTTGAGGGAGGCAAACTTTTGGGTGTGTTTTTGACAGGAGCACCAAGCAGGTGTCCTGCTATGGCGAGAGGTTTCCCAGTTTCCCAAGTGGAGACACAGTTGTTTTCTGATGTGTGATTGCTACTAAGAAGTAAGCATCTCAGCTATAGGACCACACTGTAGTCCCTTTAATCCCTCCTACTCCAAGTGGATATTGCTCCAAGCAACAGTTTATGGCACTGAGCAGAAGGAGAGTTCCATAGAAAGAGCGGAACACAACAGAACAAAGAAACCCACTTTAAGCTCATGGGCAGACACATCCAGATGCCTCTTAGGCTGAGCACAGTGGAGGCTGAGGTGGGAGAATTACTTGAGCCCAGGAGTTGGAGACCAGCCTGGGCAACATGGCAAAACACCATTTCTAAAATAAAACTACAGCAATTAGCCAGGATTGGTGGTATGCAAGTAGTCCCAGCTACTTCGGCAGCTGAGGGGAGAGGATCGCTCGAGCCTAGAGGTCAAGGCTGCAGTGAGCTGTGATTGTGCTCCTGCCCTCCAGCCTGGCTTGGGCGACAGAGTGAGACCCTGTCTCATACAAAGAATAAAACAAAACAAAATCCCCAAACACCAAAAAAAAATGAAGTTTGAAAACAATATATATGTCTGAAAAAATGTATTACTCAGCGTTATAAGAAAAATGATACAAATTCTCTACAAATTGTGGCCTACGTCTTTAGGTCGGAGAATCGAGAATCGTAGCAACTGACAGTCTCTGTAAACTAGTGGGAATTATGTAACAAGTTGCTTGTATTTTCATTTTGTCTTCCCTAAGAAACAAAATCAGCATTTCAAACATGAAAGGAATAAGAATGGTGAGGCTTAACATGCTGCTTCTGGGTTAGAATCACTGCATTGGTGTCAAACCACAGGATGTGTGGACCGTTTTTCAGGTGGATTTTAGCAGCTCTGTAGAAGGTTTCTTGCTTCCAGATGCCCTGAAGTTCCAATGTCATCTAATAACTATAGCTGCAGTCTCAGGCCTCATAAAAATACAGGGTAGAGAGATTGGCTAAATATTTTTCAGGTGTAATCCCACAAACTGAAATGTCCTCTGGTAGCATTTCTGTGTTAGGAAAAGGTAGGCATGTGGTATAATCGTCCCTAGTCCTCATAATAGTTTCTGCCCACATAGTGCTTTAGATTAAAAAAAAAAAAAACATTTGCATATATTGGCTCTAATTAGAACCCTGAGGAGGAGCTATTATTACCCTCTGCTTATGTCAGAGCGAAGAAAAGCCCTGGCTCTTAATGCAAGTCAAAGCAGGCCTGTGGAGCTTCTGAAACCTGAGGTCCTGGCCGGCACAAATTCTAATTTCACTTTGTTTTTCCTATTTAAAATATTACGTTAACTTTGGGCATAGCATATTTTACAGTTATTTGATCACCATCTCAGAATAAAATTGTACCTCTAACTCAGTTGTTTCAATCATTGTGAATATTTTAATTGTAAATATATAAAATTGTCATAAATATTTTAAGTATTAAAATATTTTAAATGTTTTTAAAATCTCACCTAAACTACATGTTATTGAAAGAGTTCTATGAAATGTTTTATTATCTGTGGTTTCATATCTAAATATCTTCTAAACTTTGAAATATATCTTAAGTAGAATGCTAAGATAAATGGAAGAATATAGGAAATAAATTACTTTATAAAAGGCAGTTACTTGAATAAAAACACATATCATAAGCTTTGCTTATCTGTTTGAGAAGTGTCTATCTTGAAATGTATGTATATATAGCATATATTTAACTAATTAAAAGGCAATAACTCAATAAATTTAACAAAAGTTCTTTTTCATTAAGGAAAATGTGATTATTTTCCTCTCAACACTCTGCAAGTAATTTTGCTGTGCCTCTTTTATTCATGAACAATTACCAATTATAGAAATATTTTTCCCTGAATAGTTTTATACATTAACTGTTCCTGGAAGGTAGTTTAACTTAGTGATGAGAGAAATTGCTAATTAGGAGACTCTGGTGACTTTGTTTTGCATGTCCAGATCTCTGCAGATTATTTTTATGTTGATTAACCTGGAAGTAGTTGAATAATAATTTTTTTAAGAGCAGGAGGAGAAAAGATATGATGCATCCATAGTATCTTCATGATGCCTTCACGATTACTTCATCCCTTAGAAATCAGGGCTCCTGCTGAGGTGTCTCTGTTGAGATTGAGGCCAGGTCTCTAATTCTTTCTCTTCCCAGGGTCCCAAGCAATCACATAGAATGTTTAAATATTACTATGCAAAGGACAGTAGTAGCTCCACTCCCAATCCAAGGTTTCCCTTTCTGCAGTTTCGGTTGCCTGTGATCGAGCACAGTCTGACAATATTAAAACAAAAATTCCAGAAATAAACAATACATTTTAAATTTTGCACTATGCTGAATAGCCTGATGAAACCTGTCATCATCACTGGATTATGTCTCACCCAGGACATGAATCCCACCTTTGTCCAGAGTGTCCACTGCCCTTTATAATGTGATTGCACCAGAAACAATGTAAAATATATAGGATTCTGGGCTATCTGCAGCATCAGGCATCACTGGGGCTCTTGGAATGTATCCCCGAGAATATGTTTAATGCCAAAATAAATACGAGGTTCCTTTTCTTATTGTATGACATTTCACCATATTTCTGTACTACTGTATTGAAATGGTGAGGTTCTTCTTTATAGTTCAGTTAGGAAAGCTTGCCTTGTATAATGAAATCCATGATGCAACTGCCCCGAATTAAGGTGTGTGGGAGACACAGGGGCCAAAGGAGTGTGCAAGCTGAGTGAAGAGAACTACAAAGAGAAAGACGTACAATTCTCATGATTGTTCAATGTTGCTCTCCCTCCGTGTTTGCATCCGGTATTGAATTTGGCCAGAGCTCAATAAGACTGCTTTTTCCTTTCATGGGCTTGTTTATACAGGGATAGAAACTATCCTGCTGAAGTTGGAATCATTTTATTAAAATAAACCTTTGCTGGTACTTTTCTCTCCAGCACAATGCCCAGCAAATGAGGTCCGGACAGGATCATCTGGAGTAATTCTCAGTCCCGGGTACCCGGGTAATTATTTTAACTCCCAGACGTGCTCTTGGAGTATTAAAGTGGAACCAAACTATAACATCACCATCTTCGTGGACACGTTTCAAAGTGAAAAGCAATTTGATGCACTGGAAGTGTTTGATGGTAAGTTTCTTTAATCTTTGTATACCAGCGTCCTCCGTGTTACTAATGAAAGCACTATTATGATGTTTTAGTAACACAAAGACTTGAATATATATCTTAAGTTAAATTATGTTTTCCAAAGCAAACAGAAAATAAACTATTTTGGGGTTGTGCATTCTGAGATCAAGTGGTCTGGTAAAACATTACCATACAATTGTTGTGCTCTGTTAGTCCATTTTCATGCTGCTGATAAAGCCATACCCAAGACTAGGAAGAAAATGAGATTGAATAGACTTATAGTTCCATGTGGCTGGGGAGACCTCACAATCATGGTGGAAGGCAAGGAGGAGCTAGTCACATTTTACATGGATGGTGGCAGGCATGAGAGAGAGAGCTTGTTCAGGAAATTAGCCCATTTTTAAAACCATCAGATCTTCTGGGACTTACTCACTATCAGGAGAACAGCATGGGTAACATGCCCCTGCTCATGATTCAGTTACCCCATCAGGTTTCTCCCATGTCATGTGGCCATTGTGGGAGCTACTGTTCAAGATGACATTTGGGAGGGGACACAGCCAAGCTATATAATTGTTAACATTGCAAGTTTTCAAACAATTAGAATGCTTAGTAACACACTGAAAATGTACACAATTTTCTTTAGCAGTTATTTAATTCCTTAATGTGGTGATTTAGAGCACAGGATCTCAACAGTTCTTTCTCTCCTCTATATAATGTCACAAGGTATTTTAGGAAACTTAGGCCTAGAGATATTTTAATCATCTAAATAATTCTTTTACCAGAAATATGTAAAAATAGTGGCTCATGGCAATTTCTAGATGATAAATGCTACAGGAGTTTTTAAAGTGTGATTTTTTAAAATAGTGAAATATTAACTGAACTTATGCTCATACTGTTTTCAACAATACTCATGATTTTTATACAATTTGAATGAAAATTTTAATATAGTAGTGATATGATTAAAAGTAATATGTGGTTGAATTGTCAATTTGGAATGGAGGGAATATTAATATTTCTCTTTGTGTGAAACCATCATCATAGTCCAGAGAATTAGACCAGATACAGTTATGGCTGCACATAGTAACAGGGTTTTCATGTATTTTGACAGATTTGTCATTGAGTTCAGATAAATAACAAAATTCAGTGAAAAAATAAATTATTCTAATTGATTTTATATGTGTTTGTATTCACTTTACTGAGTTAATGAATCATATTGCTTAGAGAGGTAGACATCACTGCATCAATTTATGTATTTTCAAAAATTAATAAATTAGAAATTAAACTTCCATTTTTATATATAGAGACAGAGGACTGGAGAGCAATATTTTCATTTTCAGAGCATGGCTTTTTTAATGTGTATATTAAAACAAACATGCATTGTTTACAATTTTTCCGTTAATCTTGAGAGAAGTAACTCATTAGGCAAGTATGAAAATGAGGCTTCTTATGTTGAGGAAAAGGGGAGGCAAACTCTACTGAAGGCCTATTAGTTATTAGACAAAAATAAAAATGTAGAGCATCCAACCTTACAGGCCGTGTGTCTGTGTGTGTGTTTGCATATATAGAGACATATATGTTCCTACAAAGGACATTTAATTAAATATATTGAAATAATTATTTTATGCATGTTCTTTTGTTTCACAGTAGTTGAATTGAAATATAATGGTCCACGCTTTTAAGTCTCTTACTTTCAGGAGCAAAATACTTCTCAATAACGTATGCACTAGTGGCTGCAATTTGACCACCTCCTAATTTGGGCAGGTCATACTGTGATAAACAACAGGTGAAACAGCCATCACAGACGTAACATTATACTTGCTGTCAACATTATCAGAGACCAATGACTAGAATTGTTCTGATCTTAAAGTTTTTTTTCTACAAAGTGAAAGGTCAGAGTTTTATATGAATATTTTTTTAAGCAATGACATTTTTGTTGCAGTAAATGTCATGCTCATATGTCATGCTCTTTGTCTCTCTCTCTCTCTCTTTTATAGTTTGTGTCTTGACCGAAAAACATTGACTATATTGATTTTAACTTTATTATCTCAAAGTATATTATTACTCTCTACGGCTTAAGTAGTGGATATCCCATAATGCTTTAAAAAAACAGTGTTTTAATCATTATGGAACTCAATTGAGAAGACTGTCAGAATTAAAATTACAGTGTACACTGGTGGAATACTTAGTTTCCATTTTCGTAAAAGAAATGGATACCTTCCTTTAGTGCTGTGCTGGTTTTCTACACATGCCAATTTGAATATGTGCTTTTCAAAACTTGTCCTTCTAGAAAGTTAGTTACATTTTAGACAGAGAGAACAGATAGAGCATAATGAGAGTTTAGATGCTGGGTTAGGAATACTGAAAACTGGCCCGGCTTGGTGGGTCATGCCTGTAATCTCAGCACTTTAGGAGGCTGAGGCAGGTGGATCACCTGAGGTCAGGAGTTCAAGACCAGCCTGACCAATATGACAAAACCCCATCTCTACTAAAAATACAAAACTTAGCTAGGTGCAGTGGCAGGTGCCTGTAATCCCAGCTTCCCCGGAGGCTGAGGCAGGAGAATCACTTGATTCTGGAAGGCAGAGGTTGCAGTAAGCTGAGATTGCACCATTGCACTCCAGCCTGAGAGACAGAGCAAGACTGTCTCAAAAAAAAAAAAAAATTACCTAAAACTTTACTCGAGTCCTGTCATTAAAAATGGCATTTAAAAATACAAATTCAGGTTAATTAATTTCCCAGTGGCATTTTATCTCAGAATACACATTATCCTTTAAGCAACAGCAAGCAAGCCAACACACCAAACAGGCTTCTGTCTTTGATTGTGAAATACAAGCCACTCTTGCATCTTCCAGGAAACATAGCCATGACATTTTTCACCAAGAAAACTATTAATACCATTTCTTCTCATCTTACTTCACTCTGACCAAAGTCGGGGTTGCCCAGATTATTTAATATGCGAGTTTTGGGTTGTGGTTTTTTTGTTTGTTTGTTTTATATTTCTTTATGAGGGCTGCCAAGACAAAGTGCCACAAATTGAGTGGCTTCACAGAAAATTTTTTTTTTTAAGACAGAATTTTGCTCTTGTTGCTCAGGCTGGAGTACTATGGTGCAACCTTATCTCACTGCAACCTCCACCTCCCGGGTTCAAGCCGCCTCCCGCCTCAGCCTCCCGAGTAGCAAGTATTACAGGTTCCTGCTACCACACCCAGATAATTTTTGTGTTTTTAGTAGAGAGAGGGTTTTGTCATGTTGGCCAGGCTTGTCTCGAACTTCTGACCTCACATGATCCACCCATCTTGACCTCCCAAAGTGCTGGGATTACAGGCGTGAGCCTCCACATCTGGCCTCAGTAGAAATGTATGTTCTCACAGTTCTGGATGCTGAGCTGTTAAGCTCAAAGGGTCACCAGGGTGGGACTCTCTTTCAAGCCTCTCTCCATGGCTGGCAGATGTGGTCCTCCCTCAGGGTCCTCCCTCAGGGTGTGCCTGTGTCTTAATCTCCTTTTCTTAGGATACCAGTTATATTGGATTAGGACCCCCCCATACTACCTCAACTAACCTCAGTTATATCTTCAGGGACCCTCCCTCTCTCTCCTTAAAGTCGCATTTCCAAGTCCGAGGGTTAGGACTTCAACATGTAAATTTGTGGGGGACACAGTCTAGCCCATAACAGTCTTATTTGAAAAAAATCTTGAGAGCTGCTCTGAGGGGGAGTTACACAGTGAACTAAGTGTGGTTTCTGAATATCTTTGCACAAATAAAATTTTATGTATAACAACAAAGACAGATGTCACTTTACTTCATAGCATTTGTATTATGAACAGCAATGAGAGCTACAATTCTTTCAGGCTGTCATGTGCTCCCTAGGAGTGAACTGTGAAAAGCCAAAAGCCATGACCACTTTTACGAGTAGCAGATCTTGTTGAGCTCTTTAGCAGAGTAGCACTGTTGGCAGCCTCCGGGGCCATGAAGCAGTTTCTCCCGGTAGATGGTTTTGGGTGATGGTGATGAGAGCCATGCCAGCTGACTCCTCGCTGTTTCCTTTTCTGACCTGTTCAGTCAGTATTAACTTTGTTGTCTTAATGTTTCCAAAACAGTTTCAAATATCATAGACAGAAAGGTGAAAAATGAAAAAAAATAGATATGAATACCAGGGCTTTGTCAAATTGACTTTAGGGCCTTTTCTTAGAAAGAAACGGTGTATACAGGTAAATTCAGAAGCTTCGCCCATATCCAATTCCACTGGCACCTCTCCTAGAGGAAGTTAGTATTTTGGAGTGGGAGTTGTATGGGTCATGGTTATGCATGTTTTAGATTAATCAATCATCTACATACACACATTTTATAGATAGCATATTTCTTATATTTATGTAATTATATTTATCTGTAAGTATATGTTTTTAGTAATATGCTATATTAAGACTTATGTGGATATACAATATGTATGTATGTATACATACATATAGATATGTATATCTAGTTTGTTAATTTTAATGCTGTATGAAGCTAATTCTTTTTCATGGAATCTTCAGTTCTTTTCTTAAAACTCCAAGTTACTGATTTGGATCCAAAGTTTACCATGAAAAATAGTGCTAGAATACACATTTTCACTATATAAATAATACTTGTACACAAGTGCTAGGGTTTATAGAAATATAATTAAACCTTCAACTTTACTGGCTATTACCAAATAAATCTCCAAAGTGATTCTGCTACCTTCTACTTCGACTAGTATCACGTCAAAGTTTCTGTTTTCCTGTTTAAGTACAATATTGTAAATACTCACAACAATACATATTACTTTCTTTTTTTCTAGTTACTGATTTTTTTATAGACAAAGTTCCTTTAAGTGTGATGCCATTAATAGCATAGGCACCTGAAATTGTTTTTGTACATTATTGTCTTATTTTTATCAGAAATATATCTGTTGCTATAGTCATTTGGGATTTGTTGTCCACTTTGCAAATAATAATACCTGGGTATTGCACATGTAGACTCCAGGGTAATCGAAAGCTAAACCTAGTATGCAATTTTAGGTGCTCACTCATCTCTGAACATTTTTATTTCTCTGCTTCACTTAGGTTCTTCTGGGCAAAGTCCTCTGCTAGTAGTTTTAAGTGGGAATCATACTGAACAATCAAATTTCACGAGCAGGAGTAATCAGTTATATCTCCGCTGGTCCACTGACCACGCCACCAGTAAGAAAGGATTCAAGATTCGCTATGCAGGTAAGTAAATGAGGCTTAGATTTTATATGAAAGCATTTTAAAACAGGTGATCTTCATTGAATAAAACAATTTAAATGGAGATTTACAATACAATCCTAATTCTTAAAGATTAATAATTAGTTCCAATAGAAATAATACGATGGGAAATTATTCTGAAAGATCCCTCTAAACTACATTAGGAAATTTGTTGCTTAATATTTAAAATTTTATTTTTAAAATTACAAACTGTTGAAATTCATAGCAGTTTGTAATTGTATAATTAGAAAGAAATTGTAATAGAAAGTAAAGAAATTTCCAAAAGATAAACTAATATAATCAAAATTAATTTTAAAATATGTTTAAATGGTAAGGAAACAAACAGGAAAAGATAATTATATTTCTATTATTTGCATAAGTGATGATAGTCTCTTATTAATAGTTATGTCTTTGTATCTATCTGCAAGTCTCTATGCATGATTCACACCACATATATGTATATATATTTGTACAAATAAGCATATACATAATAAATATATATTTAATATGTATTTCCTTATCAAAATGTAAATTATTTTGTCCTTTATATACTTTAATCATTCTCTGCTAGCAGTGATTTATATTAACGAAATCAATGAATAACAAATTGATCGAATCAGTCGATACATTTATTAAACATTAAATCCCATATATAATCATCAATATGATCTGTCCCACACTATTCTTTAAAATGTCCTACAGAAGCCGTAGGCAGACTCTTAATTCCTAAGCACATTTCAGTTACTAAGCAGAAAATCTAAACTTTTCTCAAAATCTCGCTCAACATTACCCTTGACAACTCTCCAGTTACGTTTTCCTGTGAAAGGTGCTCATTGCGTATGGGAAGTGGACAGTGTGTGTTGACGCAGGATCATTTATTACTGTGTTGGTGGTGTACGTCTTTAGGGACTAGGAGCATGCAAAGGGAAAATGTGCTCTCTCTGGTTGGCAGACATCATAACATGGTAAAAAGCATCAAGATTTTGAAAGGCCCTTGATGTGTGGACAACAGGCATGCAGTTCAGACATTCTTACTCCGGAAAGTTTAATAAAATATATTCAGAGCTTTGTTACAAAGACATCAGTTGCAGTGACGGAATTTATATTCAGCAAATTCCTTGTTCCAGAAAACAGATAGACTTTCAAAATGTTTGAATTTTTCCAATGTGCAAACATGGTCAGCACAGAGGAAATAATGATGAACATCATTTGTGTTGTTTTATGTGCACAGAAATTCTTAGTAGCCCGGTGATGTGATTAAGCCTTCAGTTGTGAGAACAATGATCTCTATGTCTTTCAAAAGGTATTTTCATTTGTTTCATACAAGAAGAAGAGTGTCATTGTTAAACTGTATTGGGAGAAGAAGACTATAGAATTTTATGTTGTTTCAGTGGGGGGAGATAGAGCAAGGGAGGGAGAGAGAGAGAGCGAGAGAGACGTGTTGTATGTGAATATAAAAATGTCTTCTCTCTCTATCTTACAGCTTCTTACTTGGAATTGGTGACTCAGTGATATCTGCTAGCTCATCACCAGTAATTTTTGAGCAGTGACTAAACAAAAGTGTCCCTAAATTATTCAGATGTGGGCAGGGAAACACTATCCCATAATATGGTCACATGACCACACATTGCATCTCCAACATGTATTTGCCGTATGCATGTAAACTCTCGATCATTCAGGCATAAAAGCAATATAATGGATCACCATAATTGAAATCGGAGTTAAGAAAAGACAAAGAAATGCCTGTTGGACAAAGGTTCTGGGTAATTCCTTAAACTGTGCAGGCTGAGTTAACAGTGTCCCTTTGGTACTATGAGAAGCAAATGGAAGCTTCTGTCTTGTGAGGATCAGAAATACAGACTGGTTTGGCATTCACCCCAAAATTCCAGGATATCTGCCTCTCCCAGCCTTCTCTCCCCCTGGATACCCATTTGACTTTTCATTCTGTACCCCGGGTTTTCCAAGGCTCCATTAGCAGAGTGGAAAGACTGGGCCCTGCTCCTCTAAATTCCTCTTACAGTAGCCAGGTGTGGAGCCGGCACGGCCCGTGCTCCAGTCTCTTTGTGTTCTGTGCGACGATTTCTCCTGTGGGGCCCTTCATGCCTTATTCTAGGTGAGTTAGGAAAGAACAGGTATTTTGAGAGACTTGCAATAGAAGAAACACAGTAAAAGAAAATGAACTCTTAGTGGGATCTGTAGAGTTAGATGATTATCCTTCAAATTACAAAAGTACATCCCTTAACAGATGTGGCTGTGTCATAAGGCACAGGTGACATCCAACAAACCTCATGGTCTCACTGCCTCCCGCAGACTTTATTTAACTTATCTGTGACTTTGGAAAGGAGTCTACAGTATGAATGTTCTATTTTTTAATTACCTTTTTTTTTTTTTTTTAACTAGCACAGTGCTTCTAAGTCATTGGTATTTAGGGTGCCTGACTGTACTCATCTTTTGTCTAAAGGAAGTATTTTGGTTCATTCAAAACTGAGAAGAATTTGGTCTAGAAAATGGTGTGGCCAACGGAGCCATGAGTCAAGAGGTTCTTATGATAGTGGATTTTCACTTAAGAAAAATCGGCCTCTTAAAAAAATGAAATGGTATGTCCAAGGCTCACCCAGCTGAGAATAGTCTCTGAGGATGCTTCTTATAGGGACATGGCTGGCAACTGAGGCCAGACACGTTGATGTTGCTTCTGGGCACCACTACGATAGAAAACCTTCAGAAAGTTTCTTCTGAATATATTTCCAAGGAAAGGGACAACATGAAGCATTCAGACCTGCATGTGTGTGCTTTTGTATGGAAGCCCCACAGGGAAATGGAAGATCTAAAAACCCTTCTTTAAAAAGAAACCGGGAGTTTCCAGTTCTTCACGACTTTCTCTGTTACATTGTTTAAATTTATCTGAAGTGAGTCCCTAGGATTTTATGCAGGAGTGACTGCGCCTTGTGAGGATGAAGCATGTTTCTTTGTCTAAATGTGTAAATAAGATGCAGGGACTTTTAGCCATGGAAATGTGACATTCTGTATGAGTAAGATTATTATTTTAACAAATGCCTGTCTCTAGTTTAAAAAAGTCTCCTTACAAAGGGAGATGATTAAAGCTATTGTGAGATTGTTATTGACTCAAGAGGATGCATTTTCTTCAAAGCTTTCATTCAAATCACATATATTAAAAGAGAAGGTTAATATCCACATCATTGTACAGTCTACAAGTTTCACTTAACAGTGACAGGAAAAAGTTAATGGCCTTCATTAAGAAAATGTTATATATTTCTTTCTCCATTTTAATAATACTTAAAAACATTGAGAATACTTTTGTTGCAAATATGATGACTTGCACAGTCCCCTTTTACTTTTATCCTTGTGATATATGTGCTTATTCACTAGGTAACCTGCTTTAGAGAGGTCAGTGAGGTCATTCAAAATGACCTTGTAGACCAAGCATGTCCAACCCACAGCCCTCGGGCTGCATATGGCCAGGATGACTTGAATGCAGCCCAACACAAATTCGTAAACTTTCTTAAAACATTGTAAGATTTTTCTGCACTTTCTTTTATAGCTTCTCAACTATGATTAGTGTTCGTGTGTTTTATGTGTGGCCCAAGACAGTTCTTCTTCCATTGTGGCCCAGGGAAGCCAAAAGATTGGATCCCACTCATGTTTCTCAAAATGCCATAGGCAGGATCCTGGCTTCACATGGACTCAGCTGCAGGTGATCTCAGCTTCAGAGTAAGAGACTTGTCTCTTGACTCTCCAGTTCTGGAATGATCTTTAGGACAAACGTACATGCGGTGCTCACTTCCTACTGTCTGGAGAACAGAAGTAGTTCATTTATATGCTCTCTCCAGGGCAATGGCACCAGCCATGTGTGTGTTTGTTTACTTATTTCTGTGTGTTTCTGTCTGTCCACAGCACCTTACTGTAGTTTGACCCACCCACTGAAGAATGGGGGAATTCTAAACAGGACTGCGGGAGCAGTTGGAAGTCAAGTGCATTATTTTTGCAAGCCTGGATACAGAATGATCGGCCACAGCAATGCAACCTGTAGACGGAACCCACTCGGCATGTACCAGTGGGACTCCCTCACACCCCTCTGCCAGGGTAAGAAACTCATTTTCATCCCCAGCCTTGTTGTCTGTATACTGCTCTCATTTAATCACTCTCTGCATGTAAATGAAGCAGGAACTAAGGATGAAAGGTAAGGAAATATTGAACATTGGTTTATAACCGTAGGAATTCAACTTTCCACTGGCCGTGCGAACTTTCCTGACATTTAGCTGTATAGCCTAAATCCGGAGAAAGGTTGGACATTCGCTAGATCCTGGGTGGACTTATTCTTTTAATTTTTAATGTGGCCGTTTTTATTTATTTATTTATTTTTATACTTGAAGTTCTGGGGTACATGTGCAGAACGTGCAGGTTTGTTACATAGGTGTACACATGCCATAGTGGTTTGCTGCACCCATCACCCCGTCATTTACATTAGATATGTCTCCTAATGCTATCCCTCCCCTAGCCCCCAGCCCAACAGGCCCCAGAGTGTGATGTTCCCTCCCTGTGTCCATGTGTTGTCATTGATCAACTCCCACCTACGAGTGTGAACATGTGGCATTTGGTTTCCTGTTCTTGTGTCAGTTTGCTGAAAATGGTGGTTTCCAGCTTCATTCATGTACCTGCAAAGGACATGAACTCATCCTTCTTTATGGCTGCATGGTATTCCGTGGTGTATATGTGCCATATTTTCTTTATCCAGTCTGTCATTGATGAGCGTTTGGGTTGGTTCCAAGTCTTTGCTATTGTGAATAGTGCTGAAGGAAACATATGGGTCAAGCTATTCTAACACTTCCTTCTACTTCCTCTTGAAGTAAAAAAAAAGTGTCATCTGATTAAGATTCAAAATAATTTTTCCTGACCATTGTATTAATTTTAAAACATTAATTTCTGAAAAACTCATTTTCCTTGTTTTAGTTTAAAAACTTATACTTTGAGCCGTAAGCTTTGTATTTGATTGATTTTTTTTTTTTTTGCTTATTTAAATCTAGGACTTGTTGAAGTTGATTTCAATATTTCATGCCTTTTTTTGCATTTTATCAATCACATGCATAAAAACCAGGTTTTCAAATAAGGCATTTTAATTTTAATTGAAAGCTTTGAAGTCATGAAATTTTCATAGTTTTGTCTTATCAAGGTTTATATTCATAATGAAATATATTAGTCTTTGAAAGCTAATTATGATTTATGAGTGGAAGCTCATATTGGATCTCTTTTTTCTCATTTTCATTAGATATTTGATTTTCTGGTATTGCTTTGTGAGACAGTAATAGATTCTTATCACACTTATTGTAGGTGTCTTTGACTCTAAGAAGTTGATCAGACATTTAGCCTGTTATTTATGTTTTACCTCTAAAAATTTGTCTTTAATGTAAAATAAACATAGAGAGAGACACCGGCAGCTTAATTCATTAAGAATGATTGGAATGATGATTTTTTTTTCTTTAAAAGAATAGTTTTTAGCAGAAGATATATTTCTCTTTTGCTTTAAATGTTCTATGACTCTGTAGAATTTGTGGGAATGTGTTCAGGCTGTCTGTTGTTTGTGTTGAACATGACTGAGAGACAATGGCATTATGGATGTCAGATGCTAGGATGTTTATAGAACAGGGTCACAGAATCTATTGCTGAAGAGACCCAACTCCAGCTCAGAGAACACCCTGTGGTCTCTGCCCACTGGTGTGGGAAACAGAACGCTAATGCCAAAGTCACAACCCAAACAGCAGCCTGGACACAGGAAAGGAGTTCCGTGGAATAGGCAGAAACTCCTCAAGTCATTTTCTGTCCTCTAGAGGCGGAGTCAAATCAGAGCCTAAAGGGAATGTGCTCTCCGGGTGGAAGCACAAAGAGGTACGGAAAGGGACCTTCATGTCCCAAAGGGACTCGGGTGGCGCCAAGCACCTGCCAGATCATCTTTCTGATCCGTAAACAAGGAGTTCTGGAAACTAACTACGAGGTGGAAACATGGCTTGCTCTTTCAATGAATGGTTGAGGAGGATTAAAGGATATCAAATATGTGGCTTTTGGATAAGTCTTGACTTCTTTCTTCTTCTCCCATGGCCTCCCCCAGCATAACTATTTAATGCTAAGTTAAATGATTCAGAAATACAAACAGTGCACACTGCAGATGAGGCTCTTCTGACATCTCTGCAGTTTTCGCCAAGGAATCTGTACATGGTCAGGGTGTCTCTTCCTTGTGTTGAACATGACAGAGAGGCAATGGCTTTGTGGTTGTGGGATGCTAGAAGGCACACCATGTTTTAGAAGAAGAATTAGAGTATCTTCCTTCAGATTTGTTCTTGGCAATAAATAACTTACATGATTTTGTTCTCAAATTATAAAATATTTAAGAAGGATCATCTTTCTAAAACAACCTGCAACGTTCTACACGTCCTGTTAACCTGGAATCAATATGGTTTTGTTTTTTCTTCACACATTTTGATGTTTGAAAGTTGAAAGTTGGCGGGATCGTAAAAACGATCTCATTGAACGACTTATTTTTATGTATTTGAAACTGAAACATACGAAAGGTAAGGGACTTAATAATCATAAAAACGTTGGTCTAGAATCCAGTCTTTCTGAGAGCCCGACCAGTGTTAAAGTGGAATTGTTTCCTGCTGGAAGAAATTATACTTAAGATAGAATCCTGCAAATACCAATTCTGAAAGAATCTATATTTTAAACATTTAAATTTATTTCTTATGGAAGAGTCCTTTTACTCACCTTTTAGATAATTACAATTTGTGTAAAATAGCATTGTAATTATAATATAACAGTATTTCCATTATAAATAGACTGTAATGCTTAAGACAAAACAAAAAATATAGTGAAAAGTAGGATTTTTGAACATTAACTTGTGTGGTACAATTAAATAGGCATTTTTATCATTTTAAAAACAAAAGTTAAACCTTTAAAATAAAGAGTAAAAATGGTTATCTGGATAGATAAAGGCCATTGAGAAGGAATTATAAAAGTTTTAAATAGCATAAGGTTGTATAACAGATACTGGCAATTTATACCCCAACAGTCTTTTGCTTATCCTTAAGGAATTATTAAAATTGATTTAACTGAATTTAATGTAAAATTTAAATGTGTGTTTTTTGCAGTATACAGTAAAGGGAGATTTTATTTGTTTAGTATTAATGACACACTTTCCTTTTGTTACATGTAGAATGTAGATTTTTTTTTTTGAGATGGAGTTTTGCTCTTGTTGCCCAGGCTGGAGTGCAATGGCACGATCTCAGCTCACTATAACCTCGGCCTTCTGGGTTCAAGCACTTCTCCTGCCTCAGCCTCCCAAGTCGCTGGGATTTCAGGCACCCACCACCATAACCAGCTAATTTTTTGTATTTAGTAGAAATAGGGTTTCACCGTGTTGCTCAAGCTGGTCTCAAACTCCTGACCTCAGGTGATCCACCCCTTTCACCCCCCAGAGTGCTGGGCTTCCAGGTGTGTGCCCCTGTGCCTGTCCCTAGAATACATATACTTCCCTAAGTTGTAGAAACACTTTGGCCTCATATGACACAGTTGGAAAGAGACTTTGCGGGTTTTCAGCTGCTTTTCATCAGTGAATTGCATGTGGAGTGTTGTGGTTATACTGGGAACCTTCTCCCATCCGCTCATGGATGTGTTGAGCAGTTGTGTATGTTGGCACATGAGGAAACAACAACAAAAAGCCTTTTTCCTTCCAAGGGATTCAAAGTCTAATAATGAAAAATAGAATTATAGGCTGAGTACCGTGGCTGACACCTGTAATCCCAGCAACTTTGAGAGGCCAAGGTGGGTGGCGGATTGCTTGAACACAGAAGTTCAAGTCAGCCTGGGCAATATGGTGAAACCCTATCTTTAGAAGAAATACAAACATTAGCCAGGTGTGGTGGTGTGCACCTGTAGATCTAGCTACTTGGGAGGCTGAGGTGGGAGGATGACCTGAGCCCAGGAGGCAGAGGCTACAGTGAGCCAAGATCGTGTCACTGCACTCCAGCCTGGGAGACAGAATGAGACCATATATATATATATGTGTATATATATATAAATTATGGTAACTGCCACCATGGATGGACCCCATGACCTGGAATACAGAGTGACACATTCAGCTGAATGTAACAGATGAAGCCACATCCTTAGTGAGGTACAAATTGGACTCTTTGATGACTGTCTCAAAAAATATATAATCAGAAAAATTTTTTAAATTATAGATTCAAAAAGTTATTTTGAGGCTGAATTTGAAAACACTTTAAAAAGAAAAAGGCTTGTGATTATCATTGATGTGTTGCTATTTTCCTCTGGTGTTAAAAATAAAATGTTAAGGGAACGCTATTTTCTATTTGGCCCTTGGAATCTTAATTAGTAATTTCAACTTACAAGGAGAGAGATATATGGCATTTAGATAATTTTATTTTCAGTTCTGAGATAGTTGAAGACACGTTCTGTCTTTGAAAAATCTAGCATTTTTGTTTAAGGAGAGTTAACATAAATGGAAGAATGATCACCATTTACGTGACCCTGAATTACTGACAATTTATAATTGTAGGCGATTAAATAAAAGACTAGGTAAGCTCTTGCTTTAAGATGTTTAGAACTCCGCATGGGAAAAACAATTTTCAAAAACCCCAGCTAAATCAACATGGCACCACGTCATTGCCACTCATATCAGCAGAGAAGTCTTTCATGATTTTATTTTTCCTGCAGATGTTCATATTTGATATAAAACTGGGACCTGAGAGGCTCCACCGTAGCACATCTGTAGGGATAAAGTTACGGGTTTTACCTCTGACACCTCTAGGCTTGAAGCACACTACCCAACATAAAAGTAGGTACAAGGGCATGTTTATGGAGAGGGTATATTTTGCAGAATTTCTTGACATACTTATTTTTGTATTCCTTCATATACAGGAGAAGTGATGTTAACTATTTGTCCGTGTTTGTAGATTAAGGTTCTAGTTGTGGGTCTGAAGCCTCATATAAGTATTAAGGAAGCCTGTTTTCTTTTCAGTTCAAACAGTACTGAGTTAGGCACTGCAGGTACCAAGGTGAATAAAAGATATTCC